GGGAGGGAGAAAGGGACTACTAAGTCAGAAAAATCTGGTGTGATGGGGATACCAATGGGGGATACTCCTAATAGATGGCAAATATCAAGAACGGTGGGAGCCATCATCCCACACCTAAACTGAAAGAAATTGAAAATAGGGTTCCAAAAACATAAAGCAGCGGGGATTAGAAAAGGGTCCTCTGAGATAGTTACCCTAGATAGTCGAAGAGCATCAAGAAGGCAGAGTTCTTGAAGGTCCAATGTCCTAACAGGGACAACCCGGTCGTACCATTCTTGCCACTCTGGTCTCATCGTGGGCCAGCATCGGTGAGGACGATTGACTTTCCAACCTTTCCAGTCGAGACCACCCTCATACAGAAGACATTGATTCTCTAAGCGAGGATATAGGGTGGGAAGCTCGGAAGGGATCTCCTTGAAAATGGGTCCAAGCACATACTCTCGCTGCACATGGCGGCGAGGGATAAAGATACGCCCATCGATAGCACTTTTCTCATCACCCTTGTATTTCTCACATTCAGCATCAATAAGCCGTTTCAAAGCCACAGATGAGCTTACACGCTCTATGGTCGGAACTTTTGATGAGGAAGAAGCCATTGATAGTGAGTTCTCGGAAAATATAGAAGGGAGTAGAGAGAAATGGAAATCTAGAGGGGGTTTGAATGCGTAAGCAATTCCGGGGCATAGAGTGAAAAGGTTTTAAATAACTTTTGTGTGTGGGAATATATCTCGTAAGTCATTAAGTACTAAAACGTGCGAAAAACAAGGAATCTTTTCCAACATCGATAATTTCAGGAGAAGCACATTGATGCCAGCTTCGAAGCCAAATTTTGGCGCTAAAATTTCAAACAACAACGGCTTCGAAATACAGAAGCCGACTTCGAAGCATACTGCATGCTTAAAAATGCTTAAATACTCAACGTATTGGTCTACTTCAAAAATCCAAAAACCTGTTCGAAGGTTATCAGTCAAAGTGACAACATTCGAAGCAAGCCCTAGGACTCTTTAAGGAAAAAGGGCACTGTTCGAAACATCCAAGACCAATTATTGGTTTCTACATGAACAAGAAGGAATTGCCATAGTTTGCCCTTCGAAGCCAAAAGTTTTTAGATCAGTTTAAAATTGATTGGCTATATCAACCATGACCATATATTGGTTACAGTTAGTGTTGAAAAAGTAAAGTCATTGAAATCGAAGTACTAAAATAATATCTGCCAGAATTGTCAATTTTACTCCATAAATTGGACAAAGACATGATTGGTTCTTTTAGTTCTTCATTAAACAGTTGATTCGAAGGATGAGATTGTTCAAATCGAAGTTATGAGTTAGAAAGTCAGACCATGCTGAATAAAGAAAGGAAAACTTAGTTTTATTAAGGTGAAAGTAATTACATCAGAAAGCTTGCTTGGCTACATATTCAATTTCATAAAAATAAGGAATAGAATAAATAACAAGGTCATGAAATTTTGTCCAGCAATGGTCAATAAATTTCTGTTCTTTCTTTATTATTTCTTCTATCTCTTCTAAAGTTGATTGCATAAGCTGATGAGCTCTCACTTCATAATAGAGTTCTTCAGCCTTTGCTTCGAAGGCCTCTTCCCTTGATTTTTGTTCCAATTCATCTATAACCAAATCATCCCAGTACACAGAATCTTTATGGTAAATTCGAAGCTTCGATTTTGTTTGCTTTGGGCGAACAGAATAAAGTCAGACCATGCTGAATAAAGAAAGGAAAACTTAGTTTTATTAAGGTGAAAGTAATTACATCAGAAAGCTTGCTTGGCTACATATTCAATTTCATAAAAATAAGGAATAGAATAAATAACAAGGTCATGAAATTTTGTCCAGCAATGGTCAATAAATTTCTGTTCTTTCTTTATTATTTCTTCTATCTCTTCTAAAGTTGATTGCATAAGCTGATGAGCTTTCACTTCATAATAGAGTTCTTCAGCCTTTGCTTCGAAGGCCTCTTCCCTTGATTTTTGTTCCAATTCATCTATAACCAAATCATCCCAGTACGCAGAATTTTTGTTCCTGAAGTCATCGAACTCTTCGATAAAATTCTCTGCTTCATATTAGGCATGAATTCGGAGAGATAAGAGTTGATCCAGATTCTGGATGGTGATCTTAGAATTTCGATGCCAGTAGAGGAGCACTGGGAGTTGGTCCAAAAACAAGTGAAGTTCTGCCTGGGCAATAGGGTTGAGAACATGACCTCTAGTCAAGATATCACAAGCCCATTGAAAGTTCTTAAGAGGAATGTCATCCTCAAGAACATTGAAGGGCAGATAGGAGAAAGCCACGAGCAAAATTTGAGCTTGCTTTCGCTCGGCTGGAGAAGGGGGTGACGGAGGTTGGTAAGGTGGAAAGACTTTGTCCATTGGAAGGGCAAGTCTTAGTTTTTCTGTCCAGGAAAGGATGGGAGGAGGAGAAGGAGAAGATGGTTCAGCGGAAGGAACAGGTGTTTCTATCTCAGAAGATGCAGATGCAGAAGAGGGTGTGGATGCTTCTATTATGGGAGATGGCACGGGAGCAGAAGGAACAAAGGCATTAATGTAGTCAAGCCAATCAGAAGAACAAATCTTCGCCTTTTTGGCTAAAAATGAAGGGGTGTACCCTTGTGCTTCTTCTGGACGCTGGGCAGGGTGCATTATCTTCGTAGGCATGGAAGAAGTATACCAAGCCACAAGCAGATTCTCCTCCAAGCTACGTCGAAGGTCAATGGGCACGTAAGGGTAGACCACTGAGCTTCGAGCGTAGGAGGGAAACTCCAAGGGGTCAGTAAACTCAACAAAATGGTGATTGATTCGCTCCCTTAGATCATAAGTCTCAGGAGTGGACCAGCTTGTCCAGCCAGAAGCTCCAGAGGATGAAGGGGTCACAGTTTCATCCCATGCAGAGGTCTGTGAAGAAGAGTTTCCTAGATCCATATTTTCAACTTGTCGAAGCAAAGGCTCGAGGGTAGTTCGGTCAGAATACAAAGGGAGCTTAGGGGAAGAATTCTTTGTATCTGTAAGTTTGTAAACCAAGGGATTAAAAGCAATGTGTTCATAGTCCAGAGGTTTATAATCTACAAAAGCCTCCATTACCTGAATATAGAAGGGTGGGTAAAGGTGGCTAATGAATGCGTGGAGGTTCTTTCGAGGGGGAACAATATCACTCAAAGGCTCTTCATATGCTTGATCAATAGAAAGGGAAGTTGATGCAGCCATAGCCTGTTCGAAAACTCCAAATGGATGACGGTTGTGTTTCCAGAATATGGACTCCATACACGTTCTGGAAGCGCGGGAAAACTTCAATCCACTAATATCACCAAGTATTGGGTATATTAGTGCGGGGGGTGATGTTGGCTACATATTTTGTAAAAGCCAGTTACAGTTCGACACGTGGCATAGTAAGGGTAATAAAGGAAGATTATTCAAGCCTTTAATCCTGATCGAACACGTGGCAAATAAATATTGGTCCTTGCATGATCTGAGTAACACTAGATCAAATAACGGGATGCAAGATGACGTGTCTTCAACGGTTACTCGTATTCAAATCCAGTACAAGAGGGAAGCTCAACTGCCAGTAATGGCGTAATGGAGCTACTTGTAAGGAAGCATGACCAGCGATCATGGAGGAGCAGTTCGACAGTTCGAAGTGCAGTTCGAAGGTCATCACTGACGAGTATAAATAGCAGGGTAGCCCCCAGAAAGAAGGACGGACTCAGACCATACAAACCAGTCATTTACTTCATATATTTTCTTTCCAGTCATCTACATTTCCAGTCCTTAAATACCTGTTCTTTAAATACCTGCACTTTAAATACCCGCACTGCACTTCGATTCATAGGAGTAGCTTCAAGTAGATTCAAGTAGATTGCTGTTGTAAACCTCTCCGAGGCTGAGTTCGGACCATTGTAAGTGTTCATTTTTATGAAATACTTCAATTGTTCTTCATATTACTGTTATTTCTCTTAATTTCTCCTAATTCAAGCCACCAGTAAAAGTCCTCTTCATTGAGGCTGAAAAGAACTAAAACACAATCGTCTGATAATTGGTTGGCAATCATAATTTCTGTAAGGACTGATTGATCCTTGCTGGCACGCTCACATTTACAAAACTACCCTTCGAAAAGCCAAAAAGCAAACAGTTATAAAAAGACAAAATAAACTTTTTAACTCCAAGCTATAATTATTTTATTTTTTCTTTTACAAAAGTCAAAAAATTTATCAAAAACGAGATTTTTTAACATCAAACTAAAAAAGTTAAAAAGCCAACTCGCATTCCAAACGAATAAAATATTATATCCGCTTTTATAAAATGACCAAAATATCCATATGCATGTATATATATAGTGAGTGTTTGGAAAGTGAGTTTTTTTAGTTGTAGAATATTATTGGAGAAATTTTTTTTTGTGTTTGAAAAGATAATTAGGCTTTTTTGTGATTGAATGTGATATTTGTGAGATAAAAAAATAAAATGATTATGAGATTTGATGTGATATTTTGTTTGAATTTATTTTTTTCAATTTTGTAACTTGTAGATGGAGCAGAACGCCCGGTGTATTACAGCAGCCGAAAGATTCGAGGAGCAGAATTCTGATATACTCCGATAGAGAGACATTGCTTAGCTCTGGTATTCATCGCCCAAAAGCTCAGACATTACTTCTTAGCAAATCAGATTCAGATTGTTACTAAAAGTGATCCAATCCGATAAATGGGGCAAGATGGTGTACTATTTATGAAGGTGCGAGGAGTCTGTTTCTTCAGTCACCGACTCTGAGTCAAAAGAAGAGCCTCCTGTCAATGACATAGTGATAAAGCCTGAAGTGGCTCCAGAATTCATGCAAGATGGGCCGAAGCCTCAGCCCGAACAACTTATTAAAATAGACCTGAGTGATGGACAAGATGCTCCAAGGCCGATATTCATAAGTTCGAGCCTTAGCCCAGAGAAGCGGGAACAATTGTTAAAATTGATAAGCCGGTACTCAGATGTGTTTGCTTGGTGATAGAAAGAAATGACGCCCGGTGTATTACATCAGCCGGAAGATTCGAGAAGCAGAATTCTGATATACTCCAATAGAGAGACATTGCTTAGCTCTGGTATTCACCGCCCAAAAGCTCAGACATTACTTCTTAGCACATCAAATTCAGATTGTTACTAAAAGTGATCCAATCCGATACCTCCTCAGCAAGCCTGCTCTAACCGAGAAGGTGGCAAGATGGTTGTTAGCACTGGGTGAATTCTAGATCACATGTGTAGCCCCTAAGGTGATCAAAAGCCACACCTTAGCTGACCTCCTTGCTCAATTTCCAAGTGGTGACTATAAACCAGTGAATGAAGAATTAAGAGGAGAGGTGCATGCAGCTATGGCTTCCGAGGAAAGCTTTTGGACATTGAGCTTTGACGGAGCAGCAGCCGGAGGTAAAGGAGGAACCGGGATAGTCCTTACAATCAAAAGTGGGGAAAAGTTATATTTGTCTTATAAACTGGATTTCTATTGTTCGAATAATGAAGCCGAGTATGAGGCTCTTATTTTAGGCTTGATAACAGCTAAGAAGCACAGTATCAAGAAGATTCAGATTCGGGGGGACTCAAAGTTGATAGTGAAGCAAGTTTCAGGACAGTTCGTCTTAAAGGAGCCTGCCTTGGCCACATATCGAACAACAATCCAAAGGCTTATTGACAAATTTCAGAAGGTCGAAATAGAGCATGTGCCTCGTTCCGACAACAAGTTTTCAGATGCCCTCGCAACATTAGGGGCAAGAGTTGATATCCCAGAGAAGGATGCGACAATTATTAACAAGAAGAGAACAGAGCCTTCAATAATACCCGAAGACAAAGACCTTCCGGAAGACTGGAGAGGAGAAGTCCTCGAACAACTCAAAAGCAAAGTTAGAAAACTGACTATGGCCAAGCTTGCCCAATTCATAATAATTCAAGGTGAACTTTACTTCAGAGGAGGTACCAGATTCCTAGCCCGGTGTGTTGGCTAACAAGAAGCAAGCTTCCGACTACAACAGATTCATGAAAAATCAACTGTTACACATCTTATAGTAACTCTCCTTTCTCCACCGAAGCCAATGATGACTATCAGCTATTTCACAATGCGCTCTTCAGGGATTCCGGCCTTTTCTAGAGTAGCGCGAGTCATAATGTTGATAGAGGCTCCGCTATCCAGAAAGGCCCTTTTGAACTCAACCCCATTAATAAAAGTAGTCACGTAAAGCGGGCGGTTATGAGAAAAATGGGTACTTCCGATCAGTCTCGGAGAAAGTAATGGCACTAGATTGCTCTTTTGCCTTCCTCGGAATAGATCCCTCGGTCGACATGCATTCCTCATGGTGTGCCTCAGCTATATTGATGATAGACTTGGTGATTTCTGTTCTTGCCTCCCTGGAAAGTCCAAGCTGGTCGAAGAACTGCTTGAACTTTACACAGTCTTGCAAGGTTTTGGCATAGTGATCCGGATCTTTTTCCACTCTTGGAGGCTCGTAGTTAACCATCTCCTCGGTCTCTTCAAAATAAGATGCCATATAAACATGGTGTCCTCCTCTTCCGTAGTACTCTTCTCCTCATTCTGGATCAAAGGGATCGTCGACATGAGTTGTGCAGGTTCTGCCCTCTGGATCGAGAGCACTTCCATAATAAACTTGCTCACCCTCGAGCTCGAGGATGTCGTCCAGATAATAATCATCGTCATCGAGATTGGTGATAGCCTCGATCATCGGGCCTTCATAAGCTATCATAACAACATTCTTTCCCTTGTCTCGGTGCTGAGGATATGGTTGTTCTCGGATGTCTTGAGTCCCTTGCTTTTTGAACCTCAATTCGTCTGCCTCGACTTTATCTCTGAAGATTTTCTTGAGAGTCTAACACTTCTCTGTCGGATGTTTCAATGTACGATGGTAGACACAAAATTCAGGGCTCTCGCGGTTCTTTTTTGATGGCATTTCTTCGACATAAGGCAATTTTAGCTCTCCGTCGGCCACCCATTCCTTAACTAGAGCTTTCACTTTCTCGATTCCACATGGATAAGAAACATTCCCCTTTTCACCATTATATTGCTTTCTCTTCTGGCCTCTATGACCTCCTCATTGTGAATTTCAGGTATCTGGAGCAGAGGCAGCAGCAACAATAGGTCCACGAGACGATTTGAAACTAGTCTTGTAACTAGCCTTAAATCCGGACTCCTAAGCCTGAGGAATGCTAATGTTCCGAGCTGCTTCTATTAATGCCGAGAAGGTGGGTAGCTTGTGATTAACTAGAAACATTTTGTACCTATTCAATGCCCTTTCTAGACAGATTTGAACCAAATAACTCTCCTCCACTGCTTCATGGCAATCCACGGGCTTGTCCTGAAACCTTTTGACGTAGTCAAGGATGTCTTCACTTTTCTGCTGCTTTTCTTTACACAATGTTAGTGTGGTCACCTTCTGTAACAACCCTCATACTGTTTACCGATTAAAAACTGATTGATTACCGATAACCATCGATTACCGTTAAACTGAATTGATTATGACCGATAATTGAACTGATTAAAGTACTGAACTGACTGACTGAAAACTGGAACTGGATTGAATGAGTACATCTGTTTGAATTGCATTTTATCTGTTGACTGTTTGTTTGATCTGTTCGTATTTTAGTGTTTAAACTGCTAATTGAAGGCCTTATCAGCGGCCGAATCTGAAATTGATTGATGTTTTATGATCGTCATAATTAATGAGATTTTATGGTATAATTATCCGAAAACTGATTAGGTATGCTTACATTAGATTAAATAAGCTAATTTAAGAGTTGGACTTAATTACCGTTTTGCCCTTGAGTGGGCCACTACCTCTACACCTTGAGCTCACTATACTTGAGCCAAAAACATTTTCCTCAGCCTTCTTCTTGTTCTTGCCGACCTTGAGGGAGAGAGGGAGAGAATAGAATTGTTCTTGGGGGTTTGGCTTAGTCAACTTGAAGAATTGCTTGAAATTGAAGTGTATCTGCCTATTTGAGCTCCCTCACTTCTAATTCTACACCTAAGGTAGATCATTAATCATCTTAATGGTGTCTTTGAGTTATTCTTGCATGATTCATGCTTCAATGTAGAACTAAGTCATGAATTGGTTCATTGTTGTTGAATTGAAACTTAATTGTTGCATGCATGTACATATATTGAAGTTTTGAGGTTGTAGTTCATAATACCTCACATGCATGTCCATCTTTTGGTCATACTCCATGAGTTCATCTTGTTTTTGAAGGTTTGAGCTCTTTTGAAAACATGTTGAGGCAAATCATGGCATTACAAGGCATGTATGCTAAGCAAGCATGGTGTACCAAAACCAACTCAAAACAATGCTATTTCATGGCAAAATAAGCATAAATAACAGCTAAGGCATGGTCAACAAGAGTCTAAGCTAGGTGCTCCCTTAAGAGGCAAAAATGGTCCTTTTCAAGGACAACAAGGAGAGGGGGTGGCCCTATTCCAACTCAGACAATCCAACCTTCACCCACAGGCATTCAAGCAGTT